AATTTGACATTATAAAGGGCATCTTCAGCTGTCTGCTGTCATCTTAAAAATTAAATTTATCAGTATAAGTAGCATTTTAAGCAAATAACAAATTCAATTTTTTTTTCTACTCACATATTTAACAAGTAGATCTCTTGCCACAAGGAAGAAATTCTTCATCCACACTTTGCTTACAGGCCTGAAACAAATGGCTTATGCTCACCTAAATTATGGCCCCTTTTTGAGAAGGCTTCAAGGCCCCACCCAAATGTAACTAAAAGGTGTAAATAATTTTATTGTAGGGCAAAGTTTCAAACGTTCAGCTTATCAGCACCACTGATTGGAACCAAAGCCTTAAGTGGAAGATCACCCTTGCTTAGTAATATGTCCTCCCACCTGTCACAGAGATTGTTCAAACACAAGAGTCACTGTGTCATCCTCTTTCTCTATTTACAAGTCTTTAAGCATTGGCAGGCAAATGAGGATTCTTACAGAACCTGTGTTCCTAATCTTTCAACTCATTTTATTCAAATATATTTTCAAGTCTGACCTCAAAATATGCGAAATATGGGCTGTAGCAAGGCACCAAAAGTTTTGGGATCCTGTGCTTCTGAATATGTTATCCCAACGGATGTAAAAGCCAGCTTTATGAAAAGGAAAAAACAAACAAACAAACAAACAAAAAACTCCACAAAGCATTACACACTGGAGTTCTTTAGAGCCGAGAAAGAGGATGGGACAGTCCCATGTTCTTGTCACTAAGACTACAGGTAGCAACGCTGACTTGAAAATGCTAATGTGTCTTTGCTGAGATGTCAGCAACAGAATTAGCTGAACTTGACACTAACCTGGTATCTGGATTAGCTGACATCTAGATTAGGCTGAAATAGAGCAACCCTTCTGGTGCTTTTGGCAAGGTCACCATTTCCTACTTGTGTACATTTCCTCCACCTACAGATGGCTGGATATGTTTCTCAATATGTAAAGAGTACCATTTCATAACTAATGCTCCTTCAGACTACATTCAAATATGAGATTATGCAGATGCAAATAAAAGCTAGTATCTGCCTTAAGAAATCAGGAGGTTTTATCTACTTTCAGTTTTTAAGGGCTGGAGTATAAGAAAGCTTGGAGTGAAGAATTCACAGCAGAGCAATACCTGCACCCAGTAAGAAGTGCAGAGACAACAGGAAAGGCAGCATGATCCCTATAAGCCTACAAGCTGCATACCAGTAGGAGCTGATGTTAACATCCCTAAGCAGAATCAGTAAAAATCCAGATGCTTAGATGTTTCTCCCTAATATCTAACCTCATTTTTATACCATGTCCACCCTGCTTGGATTGAGTTTAAACTTGCCATTCTCTTGTTTCCCTTATTCCCTAGGAAACCAACTGGAATGCAAAATCAGATTTGCAAGAAAGATTTGCACACACAGAACTGCTGTAGTTCAAAGGTATCATGAAGTTCCCAACAGCACATGAAGATGTTACTCTGCAAGACTTTAGAAAACACCTCTCTGGAAAGATTCCTGTAAGGAAGACTTTGAATCTGGCTGACATGAAGAAGCTGTTTCCTTAATTTTACAAATACTTTATTGCTCAAGACTCTTAAAACTCCTAACTAGATGTACTGCAGAGCAAAATGGCATAAAATGTTCTTTGGCAGTTGGAAGTACACATTTAGACTACTGTGGAAGAACGGGATAAATAATTTTGATTAATGCTGACTGGCTAATGACAATTCACTTTTCCAAAAACTTTTGACAAGTCAACATTTGTTTTTCCTCTGCTTTGAAAAAAACACAACGCTTTCTGAAATGAAGACTTGAGGTTCACATTCTCTTGTTTCCTCAGTTAAGCTTTTCCAATTGCTTCACTTTGGATTTGTTGACAGAAAAGAAATTCAGATGAATACTGTAGTCCCTGTGCTGGAAAAATGAAAATGTATCCCTTACATATAGTGCTACCAGGCCCCTCAATGTCTTTTCCTAGACAATCTTCTGATAGATTTTTTTTTTAATAGAATCTTAAAAACCTAGAAGGAAATTCCATACCCCACTGATTTAAGACTGGCTGGAATCAGATTCATTTCTTCTGGCTTTAGAAACACACATGTCATATGATGTTTTTTGTGTCTGCCTATGCCTACATACCAAATCCACCTACAATTTGATATATTTCTGATGGATTACTTTAAAAGGTATCATGTTTTGCATGATCTCTTTGGCCCATACAGCCAGATATTTATATACATTTTCACCAAGCCTCAAGGTTTTTATGAATTAAAAGAAAAATAAAGCATACAGTCATCACACATCCCTTTATCTTCCTAAAAGTACAGCATAGGGAAATACTTTGATGTCTGCACTTCCATTGAAATCAACTGAAATCTTTCACTCAGAGACATCCTATGTGTGTTTGTGTGGTATATATCATATCATATAAACCTATGCTTTAGAGAATAGGTGGATGGTAGAATAATAAAGTTTGTTCTTTTCAGATCATACATATAAACATATATATTTAACAGAAGAGACATACAGCAGAATCTGTAACAGAAATAAGACAATAGAGCAAGAAAGAATGGATAGTAGGCCAAATTAACCCCTGTGGAGCACAATATTAGGAATATGGCATAGTGCTTTTAAGTGCACTGGTTGAATTTCTTTTTTGCTGCAGATCTTTCAAACAACTCCTGTGTTGAGCTACTGTTTTTCTGTTTGTTTGTTTTTGTTTTCCTGGGGAAGTGCTACTGGTACATGTCAAAGACAGCTTTATTTGTAATTCATAGGAGAAAAAGCTTGTCATGAGCACACTGATATATAAAAGGTCGCAGAAGCTGTCCTAAGTAATATGAGCAAATGTAACATCTTGCACATCTTTGAGTACAAGGTATGTTTTTTTTTCTTTCTGCATTCATTCCTCTTTACTACTGCAGTCACCATGTACCTTTGTCTCAAATCAGACAGGTATTGTTTATTCTTAAACACTTCTAAAATATCAGCGTTTATCCTAGGGAAGGAGAAGAACTTGCAGCTCAGATCCAGATGCCCATGGCCTTCGGGGAAAAGAAAGATAAATATGGGCTTGAACTCCAGAATTCCGTTATTTTTAACTCTATTCACAGCATCTGCCACAATCACCGCACAGAAGTAAAACAGTAAAACATGCTTGTTCCACAGTTTTGTTACATAAACTACTGTGATGCTAGTTACTAGGACAACAATATAAAAGACAATTTTCCCAGAAGAAAGCATAGATATTTAACATTTTGTGAACTCTTCCTAAGAATTTGTAAAGAAAAACAGAAAAAATGCAGGAAATAGTTATTTTTATTTATATTTCTCAAATTTATACTTGTAGTCTTATTACTCCACTCTCCTTAATCATGACTATGAAAGATTGTGTATGAGCATAATATTTCACCTTTATAATTTGAAATATCTTATTCATATAATTTTTAAAGACAGGCTGCCTATTTGGGTTGTTCAGACATGATCAGTGCATAAGCCTGTGTGACTGCA